AAATGTAGCAGTGGTTAGGGCGCTGGGCTTGTGATCCGGAGGTCCCGAGTTAGAATCCTCCTCCCTGCCGCTACAAAATGATCTTGTGTTGGGTGGACCTAAGTTCAACATCTCCAACCTTGGCAAATAGCCAACTGGTTGGCTGATTTTTAACGGTTTCTGTCCAATTTACAACATTTGTTGGCATATTCAGTTCCTCAATTAGCACAGCAAAGTTAAATACTTACGAAACTTAAGTAAAGTGATACATTTATCGTTATTTATTTTTCTCAGCACAGTCTTACTTCAGTTTACCTGAACAGCTTGGGTACAATTTTAGGAAGATATGGTTCCAACTGCTCTCTTGAATGGGCAGCAATAGATGAGAAACCAAATGCTGCGCCCTTGAGGAAATAAAGAAACGGGAGAAGTAGAAAATTGAACTGTCGATGCCATACGGTTGATTGTCGTTCGTGGAGGATCTTATAAACGGGGAGTACCGAAATTTTACGGTATTTTCCCATCAATTCGCCAGTCTCCCATCACATTCCTCAGTTAATAACGAATGTAACGTGTGATGCACAAAGACTCTAGCCAGGCTCACACTGGGGCACTCAACCCAGAGCATAAGGCCTCCGAACTTCACGGGAAAGTAAGTTCTCTGTCTCCTCAACAAGGAATCACTAACAACTGGCTGCCTACAGTACCTTGCGGGAGTTCCACAGAGCGTTATGATTGGCTAGGTGCATAAACTTGTAGATCAAGTCTGGCTGGTTTAGATCACTAGCAATGGAACACAGCTCCTTATAGGTTGATAGGCCACTCCTGAAATAACCAGAGAGATGGAAAACGAACATCGTGCTATACTCACATTTGTCTAAAGGTAAAGTGGTTTTCAATCGAGTGTCGAAACTCGAAGTAATCAGGCATGCAATTACTTCGGTTTTAGTTTGGTTGTTTTTTAAGATTTGAGATAGGCCCGTCTCTAATTGGTAAGTTATTGGTTTGGTTTTGACTTTGGTTTTACGACACTCAATTGAAAACCGCTCTAACGGAAACTAAAACCAATAGTAAATTGGGTTGATTAGCTTTTCCGCACTTGACAAGGATAGGAAGGTTTTCCCGCGCTTGGCATCGGCGCGGCTGCAAGGTTTTCCCGCGCTTGTCACTAGATTTGAGATTTGACTGCGATATTTGGGTGCGTTGTGATTTGCTAAATGTGATCAATTTGATTTTCCGACAATTATTAAGAAACCACTCATTTTGCTCATTACAGGCCACGTGACCTACCCTTCAGGAGCCCGTCCCAGCTCTCCCTCCTCAAAGATCTTGGTATCCCCAGTAACGTGTTGGTTTCGCCTGCAATGACAGAAACGGTACTAAAATAACCCTACAAGGAGAGATTTCCAACGCTTTTAGGGGACACAAATGCTAAAAAAATTCCTCATTATTTACTCTATAAATTCTAGAAGATGAATGTTGCGGGGTTTTTTCTCCTCGTTACTTGGCCTCTTCAGTCCGTGGGGGAGCATAGGGCCTCTACTGTGACTCTCCACCCAATCCAACGGGTCAAGTTGCAGCTCTCGTAAGGTCTCACATGAGAGGACAATAGAACAAATAACAGAAACAATGCCCCCTAGCCCCAAAACAATAACAGCTGCTAACAGTGAAGAGAATTACAAGCTTACCAGAGCTGCTACACTACCGTAACCAATACAAGGTTTCAGTCCTATCCCCCAACCCGATCCAGACTCTGACCTGCTAGCCATTAAAGCACAAGTCAACTGAGAGAGAATGTGTAAGTCAATTTAGTGCCCACCTGCTGCCACTCATCAGTGTATCGACCAATAAGGACACAAGCTCGTCTTTGTTCTCCATGCCGCCATGTTCGTATACTAGGCCCAGGCCTTTTGAAGCAACTTCTTGAGTAAGGTCTAAAAACAA